CACGTGACCTTTGTGGGCGTTTCTTACTCACGTTCATGTCCTTGCGTGTTTGCGGTTGCTTTTGAGTTGCGTTGCACCTTTGATTGCTTTGCGAAATGGTTTTGTTGTTGCTTGTAATTTTTATTGCTATTTCAGCGTCATGACGGCATTTTATTGGCGCGCGCACACTTTAATCAATCATCTGCCAGCAAGACGGTCGTCCGATAAGTCGGTGTAAAATTTTCGATGAGAAGTTTTTCTTTCGTGATCGCAAAACTCGATGAATTAAGATCTAATAAATACTAAAATAAACTCAAAAGTACTAATATATCGTCTAACGGAACAATAGAGCCTCATCTAATTTTTATACCGTCTAACTCGATCTAAAACTTAATCAAGAACGAACCTTTTGAAATGCTACAAGGGAAAACGATTGCGACGGACTTATTATGGTTTCTAGCATGAAACGAAAGGCGAAAGTCATTTGTAATTGCTGCTAATGTTGCACTCCCAAAATAGTTATATGAACTCATACTATCAGATATGTAAAGCTCACCAACTATGTCAGCTCATTTAGGTGTGATGTAAGCTCAGCAAAATACCAGATGAAAAAGGATCTGTTCTCTGCGCGCCTTAAAAACTTGGTGGATGTTTCACTGAGCAGCTACTAAACTTTATCTGTAAAAAAAAAATTCTTTCAGTTTAAACTTAATGTCGTAAGTGTGTTCGATTGTTATTTCCCTCTGAACCATGTACATGATTTATCTATGAAAATATTAAGGGCAAGCTATACTCTCACGGTTGCAGTGATCTTCTACTTAGCCATTGAAATGAAAAGCGCTAAAATCTTATGTGTTTTTAAAGCCATATGCGTGGCCGTCAAAAGTTAATATATCTATCAAGTAGGCCTCGTACTAAATATACCTATACATAGTATGTACGATATATAAAGGTAGTCTGTAACACATCATCCGTCATTCATGACTACGACATGACTTTCATGAAATAACTTTGAATGGCAATAAGAAATTTTCAAAGTCGGCTTGTCGTAAGTGAAAGTTTTGCAATTCTTCGCTTTCAAAGTACGAATACAGAAACACAAGCTTTCGTTTTGTAATCAAAGAATTTATGTGAGTATTTATGCACTCGCAAAGTTCTCTGGTGAAAGTTCTGTCAAAGTTGTTGATTGCTTGTCAGCTAACAGCTAGTTGCTTAAGGGGCATGTGTATAGGTATACATACTCATAGAACTATGAGAAGTAGAACAATATTTACGAGGGTGTGAAATATCGTGTTATCTTTAGTGAGGTATTGTGCTAATATTTTTGATTTTGAATTTGAATTATAACTTTTTTAACTTTCCCAAGCAGAGGAACTTTGGTATTTTATCAGTGTGTATACCTTATCTGACACCGGGACTAAAGTGCCGTCACTCTATTGGTTCCTCTCGGTTCCTCTCTGAACCATCTCGTGAAGTTCATGAATGTGAAAAGTTTTATTTGAGAAAACTCGAAGACGTTGTCAAGAAACCTTCGACCGATAATTGCAATTCCTATATAGAGCTTTACAATCACATAGAAAATGTTTGATAGGTTTCCTTTTTTCTATCTCCCGACACTTTCTACAATATCCTTTATGCGGCCGAGGTAACACTAATCGTTTCTTTTTTTTCGCAATTTGCCGCCAATTCGAGAATACCAAGTGCAGGCAGGTCCTTCTCCAACTGATCTCTCCAACGGAGTAGAGGTCTCCTCTGGTTTCCCCAGCGAGTACTTTCAGAGCAGGAGTGTTTTCATCCCTTCGGACGTATGACCTAGCCGCTGAGTTTGCTGCTTTTTTTTTGTCGAGAGAGGACTTTACTTCTACTAGTTGAAAGTAGCACATGTTGGCAAGAGTTATTCTGCTTTGGATTTCGAGGCTGACATTGTTGTTGGTGTTACTGCTGATTCCAAGATAGATGAAATTAAGGATGTTAAGGCCGATGATATCAATATCATCGGCATAAGCCACTATAAGAACTTTCATTAACTTAACGAAACTCTTAGAAACTGAAGTGATCTCAAAGTCGCTTTCCTATATGTATATGGTAAATAGATATATTTCCTGTTGTTAGCCCACTTCTTGTCAGAACAAGAACGCTATCCTTATTTGCTGTGAACTCCGTTTGGATGAAACTACATGTTTGGTGGTTGGGGTATCTAGTTTAGGAGAGAAGGCACCACCTCCCATTCGGTTATGTAGTTTAGAGCCATCCGTATTTATGCCTAATCCTACGCCCTTGACTACCTCGCCCCTTTTTCACTCTTCTATGGAAGGGAAGGCAATAAAGGGATAGAATTTAAATTCTACTCTATAGTATTTCAAAAATCAGTGGTAATGGGAAAAAACACGAAATTTTAAAGATTAATAGAATGCCCTTTATTGCTGGCGCCTTAAAGGGAAAATTCCCTCGGTCAAAGATCTGACTTCGCTGCCAGTCGCTTATAGAACATATCAATTGGCAGTAAGTGTAAAATTACGTAAGTGCCTGGCTTGGCGTTGTGCTGAGAGTTCCACTTTTTCGATGTAGAAGAATTCGAACCTTTACGCTCTCGAAAAAATTATTTTGCATTCAGATATCTATGGATGGTGTTGATTCCTGGATATTATGTTTTAAAGAAATAGCGTTTAATAAATATAGCAACGCACACAATTTGGCTTTAAATAACAATATAATTTGCTTTATTAATTTTTGTATTAAATATTTTTATAATACTTGTATTATTACATTAAAGTAGGTATTTAATATAATATAAGTACGCATTTTTGTTTGTTAGATTACATTAATATAAATATATGTGGTTCCACATCATGGTATGTTTCAATGAACCAAGAGTCTGTTTGGTAGTTTGAGAGTGGAAATTAAAACCATTCCTTATCGAATAAAGTCATTAAATATAATGCTTAGTTAAGCTCACGAACCAACATGACGCTTGAGAGGATTAAAGATAGAACATAACTAATACAAGGTATTAGTTTTTATTGAAGTTAATAATTAGGTGTTTTAGGGAACTGAGAGCAAGGGAAAATAAAGAAATGTACCATAAGATCGAGCACTAGGATCAGGATGAGGGTTACAGTAAACGAGTATGTGCGGAGGAAGTATGTGTTTATATTTTTTTTGTATAAATGTGTGTAGCAAGTTCTTATTAATTATTATTGGTGCTTTTATTGAGGTCCTACGCAAAAGTAATTTTCTATTTATCAGCGGTTAGGTTAAAATTATGGTTGGAAACTTGGTTTTGTTGCCGTTTACAGCGATGTTAAAACTTTTGACTGCAGGAAATTGGAATATATAAAGTTTTTGCTATTTATTTTTTGCTTAAAAATTAGATGTATGTACTGTATTCACTATTAATTTTCTATGTATTAGAAAAGTTCTTTGAAATTCGACACCTTCTTCTAATATTTTTAAATATTAATTATAATATGTGTATCAGTGTTTCTGTTTAAAATTGTACTAAATAAGAGTTTTTATTTTGTATTTTGAATTGAAATATTATTTTAATAATATAATATTTATATTTGTATTTAAAGAATCAGAAAAAAAGAGTAAAAAATAAATAAATACATTCAAAAATAAAATAAATTCATATAATTATTAAATTTAAAGCCAAGCATACTCTAATATACATAATAAAAAATTATTTTCGATGCAACTACAATTTCAATTTATCTAAGTAGTAATAAAAATATAGATGCATATAGGTATGGTCTCGATTAGCTACTCGCTAGCAAGTAATTGGGGGGAATATACCATAACAGAAACAGATTTGAATTTTCATAAAGGCAGACTTTTAACAAATAATGAAAGCAAAAAAAATTTCCACTACAATTAAACATAGGGGCCGGCTAATGATGTCAAAAGTGAACATAAACGTGGATTAGACCATCTTTTAGGCTATTTGTTCGATTCACCACTCTCTTAATACTGATGTATCGAAGACAGCAGCGCTTGTTTACTCATTTGCCTACCTACTTACACGTAGAATGATATAAGAGAAATGTGAAGGTGAAAATAAAACCGTTATTTCGATTGTATAATTTTCATATATTTTATTTATTTGTATATGTATGTAAATGGTATAGAAATTAATTACATACATTATTCATTCATAATTAAAAATAAAAAAAAAAACATGCCTAAATGTTATTTAAATAATATTTAAACATAATCAGAGGACAGCATATAATAACGGTATATATAAGTGAATACAAACGTATAAACAATATATGTATGTATATAGATACATATATAGAAAAATATAAAATAATAAACTGTTTTAGCAAAGATAAAAAGATGTGAAACATTAAAAAGAAAACTTAACATGAAGAAGTGTCCAAGCACTGCCGACATTAGAACAGATATAACAATTATCTTGAAACTAACTAAACAGCTTGGTGTATGATATGGGTAGCTAATTTGTTTTATCCAAATAGCTGCAGCTACTTCAACACCTCTAATTACTTAATTATATGCAATTAACATTTCGTTGTTTCTTTTAAAAATAAATTATTACATAAATACAAATTGTGCAAACACAACATATTTACTGTATTTGCAATGATTATTTTTTCCACAGATTGATTTTTATTTCTTTTAAACTTCATTTTTGTGATATTGATTTGCATTGCAGTGTTGCTTTTGTAAAGAAATAATTGCGACAAAAAAGCGAGTGCTTAGCTAAGTTCACTGAAAAGCATATGCCGTTCTGTGGTTTTGGGCTAAAAGATCCGCAAAAGGATGCTTAATGTGTAAAAATTACACTTTTAGATGCCGTACTGGCGTACAGCTTGCACACAAACATGCCGATACTTTCAACTGCACATAGCAAAGCCTCTAAATCAAAGTTGGTTTTATTTTCGTAATAGTAGTATGTATGTATGTAGTACCCTCCATCATTTGGCTAACTCAATATTGCTAATCAGTTATTATATGTATGTATGTATGTAAATGTGTGTGTGTGTGTGTGTGTGTATATATTTGTTGGTACGCATTTAAAATGTGCTTGTTTTGCTTTGACTAAGAGTTTGTTGGACTAATAATTGCTATTAGTTTAAATTTTCCATTAAATATTTGTAATATTTTTAGTAGCAATAGTAGTTGTATCTGTTTTTACCACAAAATTTCTATGTATCAAAATATTAAAATATTTTTTGCTTATAAAAATTTGCATTTTTTTTATAAATGTGTGATTTATGCAATTTTGGTGTTTTTTCTTTGATGCTTCCCTTTGGAGATTTTTGTTTTAAATCTATTTTTATTTAGATTATATACCTTTTACAAAACAGAAATGTTACTCAGACTCTGCGTGTCAATGGATTGCCATTTTAAAACTTTCGCTCTCGCTCGCTCAGTGCATTCATGTTTATACCACTAGGTAACTATGCCATTGTTGTTGCTCACTTTGCAATTTTGTATAAAATTCTTATTCTCAAATACACAATTGAAACGAATTTCTTTCCAAATTATTGCTGACTAAGTAGGCTTTTGCATTATTTTGCAATTTTTCTTAAGTTTCTTAAAACGCTCTTTTTTAGTTTACCGTTATCTTTTAAATTTTGCGCTTCAATGCTATGTTTTGCTGCTAAACTAGTATTAAAATTAAGTGAAATTCAGCAACACGCCAACTTGCTTTCAGCAGCACACGCCACACGTCCTTTCGCTTTCATGAATGTATGTATGTGTGCCTTGACGTTGCATTTACACTTACGCTTTTTCTTCTTCTTGCGTTCTTCTCGTTGCTCAAGCCTATGGAGTTGCATCGCCATTCTTCAAGCCTTCGATACCTCGCTCCGTGCTAATACTATTCTTCGCCGTCGTGATGGTTGCCTTTTTGTCAACGTCATTCGACGTCACATCCGCTTTGGCATCCTCTGCCCTCGCCAGCCGCGCCATTTTATGTATATGCGGTGATGATGGTGAAGTCAATGTTATTCTACAATAAGAAAAAGCTTTTGTTTTTGTATACACACAAAACGTATATCGGAAAGCGGATCACGAAAAAAGTGGTGGGCAGGGAGAAGTGTGAGTTTTGCAAACGAATGAGTGAAACAAGAAGAATGATGCAAATAAAATATGTGAAACAAAACCATGTTGCATATAAATAAAATAATATTGCAAAATTAAAGCGAAAGAGGAATATAGTAGAAGACGTGTGCCAGGATGTGAGTGAATGGGTGACAATTCGATTAAAAAATTTTTTTTTTAAATATACCAAAAGCCGATTAGTAGTGATGGAGATGGTGTTGGTGATAGTGATGATAGTGAGGCAGTTGCAGGAATGTGGAGTTTTTGGTTGTTTAGGTGTCGAGGTGATGGTGTATAAGTGGAATACTTGATTAGAATCAAATAATATATATAAAATCTAAAATATATATAGATAGACATATGAATGTATTTACACGCACTTAATACAATACTGCAAAACTGTTCTTAATAGAAATTATATTTATAGAGCTCTTTAAGCGTTAATACGTACTTATCATAACTGTTAATTACGTCTGTCACAAATCTCTCCTAAAGTACCTCAAGTTCTTATTTGTTCAGTTTATTATAGAGATGATATATAAAATGAGTCAATAATGGCCTGATCTTGAGACCGCATTATCTGAGAAAATCACAATTGTGTTGGAAAGTAGGTTGGAGTAGTCAAGTCTGGCTTATTATCGACTCAAAGTAAAAACAATATTTCGATAATTTGATATGAACAATTTTGATGTTTGCCCATACATATATGATAAATGGTCTGCGCGGTTCGAACCACAATTTTATAGAAAATTATTTTACAGACGACGTAAATCGACTGCCGAATTCTTTCATTAAATTGTTACTCGTATGCAATTTCGTAGTTTTTAAAGTTTGAAAGTTTAAATAGGCAAACTATGAAGCTTAAGCTACAACCACAACAGCCTTCTATTCGTCCTTCCTTACATCAAAAAACAAAGAAAACTTCACTTAACTGGATCGCGTACCTTACCAACTAAGCCTCCTATCTAATAATTTATAGCTTCACTTATTATAAATATATTTTATTAGTTAATATACATGACAATGAGACCGCTTACCTCGGACTATTGTCATCCTTTTCATGCACCAGCGTTTTAGTTGAGCTCGGGCTCATCAATTCGCCGTTTGTGGTGCGCTTTACTTTAATGGGGCGCAAACGCTCCTCTAAATCGCTAAGCGAACCATCTGTGCTGTGTGAGTCCTCACTAAAATTTAGGTAAACAAAATATAATAATTAAAAATGCTTTGCTAACAATTGACTTATATACAAACCTGTCGCTCACGTCATCATCACCCTCCTCCATAGCCTGCTGTAGATCAGCAATGCGTTGTAGCGCCAAACGCAAATCATTCTTGAGAGCAGACGACTCCGACTCCACTTGTTCCAGTTTCTTTTCGAGATCTTTGCGTTTCGTCACCGACTCTTGTTCTCGTGACGCCGCCACATGATACTCTTCGCGCATGTCACGCAAACTCTTTTGTGATTTCTTGAGTGCATCTTGCGCTTGCATTTCACGTGCCTTCGCTTGCGCTACATCGTTCTGTACCTTCTCGAGTGTCTCTTTGAGTCGCGATACTTGCACTTCGAGTCGTGTGCGTGTAGCTTGTTCGAGGTCTAAGCGGGATTCTAGCTCTTTGGTGCGCAGTTCTAAGCTGTAATATGGAAATGACGTAAGCAAGCATATTCGCTTTCAAAACCTATCTTGAATATTACTTGAATCCTACAACTTACCGTTTTGATAGCATCGCTGTGGAAGGATCAGCCATACTCTCCACATTTTCCAAACGTTGCTGCAGTTCGCTCACTTGCTCCTTTAGATTATTGCGATCTGCTTCCAATTCGGATAACTTGAACTCATACTCGGAAGCAGCGATCTGCTCGGTATTTAACTGTTTAACAGCTGCGCTATATTTCTTCATTAACTCTGCGAGTTCCTCTTCGTTCTCTTCGATTTGCGCCTGCAATTCGGCGCGATCACGATGCGCTGCATTAGCACGATCTTCCGCATCATTACGTCCTTTTTGTGACTCTTCGAACATGGCTTGCACTTCGGCGAGCTCAGCTTCGGCCGCTTGTCGCGCTTTCATCACGAGTGTACGCGCCGATTCGGCGTCTTCGAGCTGGTTGCGTAGCTGTCGTATGAGTGCTTTACCTGGCGTTTCCGCCTTTGAACGCTCCAATTGCGCTTGCGCATCCTTCAATAGCGCCTTGTATTTGCGTAGATCACGTTTTAGTTTTTGGGTGGCTGCCTCCTCGGCCTGACGATCCATACGATCTTGATCCTCCATCGATGAGAGTCGTCGTTCTAGTTCGTGCTTTTCGCGTAATAGCAAAGTGCGCTCTTCGTGTTCAGTCTCGAGTTGGCATTCCAAAGCTATTTGATATTTATTTCAAAATTTGTAAACAGTCTTGGTAAAAATAATTTCAGGTCATAAATGTTTACCTTTAATCTTTTTGTAAGAGTTGTTGCGCGCTTCCTCCAACTCGTCGTCGCGTTGTTGCGCCTCACGTCGCGCTTCTTTGCGCATGGTTTCGAGCGACATTTCTAGTCGTAGTTTGGCCTGTTCCAATAATTGCACCTGCCCGGCCATCTCATCCAGTTCTTCTTCTTGTTCTTTGACACGCCGATCCAATTCATTCTTTGAACGACGTAGTTGTGCGATTTCCTCTTCGGTGCTGCCACCGAAAGTCATCTCCTCCAATTCACGTTGTAGCGACGCCAACTTCTCTTCCTTGAGTTCGAGCTCAAGACGAGTGTCCTGAAAAAAGGAAGGAATATTCCTTTAATACACCATAGAAAGTGAAAATAGTTTCGTGGTCAAAATTGGAAAATTCCATTAAAATAATTTTAGGATCATGCTCAATCCGTTCATATCATCAGTACACACTTCTAGACATGTCGGGATTAGCAGAAACTAAAATTGCGCATAAAGATGTTTCTGCAACTCTGTTTAAGAACGGAACGGAATCGAAGAAGATAGATAAATTCGTGTAAGATATGGGGAAAATAATGTACACGGAATAACTAAGGTAGTTGGGTCTAGAAAGTCGGCAAAAGAGGAAAGGATCGGCATTTATATTCGGACAAGATCTGTAACCATTAAGAAATGAAAAATATAGAACCGAGCTTCGATAGATATAAGTCGAAGGAATAACTTATAGCATTATAGAGGAAAGTGCCGCAAGAGTGTTGATTATTTTTGTGTTAATTACAAACGCATTCGATCTGATATCAATATAGTATTATATATAATATAAAAATCGACTTGAACTTTATATAAAACCTCTACATTCTATTTGCCGCCCAGTATCAAAGCTCTTGGTTATGTTCTGTAAGATGTAAATATGAATGGTATTACCTTAGCGAGCACGTAATTAGCTCCATTAAGCTTAGCAAAACATCAACGAAACCGTAGCGTAGAATGAGCATTTAACGCAACAATCCACGTCGGCGATTCCGCGAAAAAATCTTGTGCAATAATTAGAACAAGAATTTTCCAATGAAAAGAGAGAAATAACTACTCTCACACATACAGACATAGGAAATGGTGGCATGTCGTTAGTCTACTTAAAAGAAGACATCAAAATGAACCGGTTGACCGGTTTCTAGCGGCAAACGCGTGCCCAACTTTATCACAGACGGATAAAAGCAATTACGGCGGAGGGTTGGCGAGAGCCGGACTCTACAATGTTGCAATATCCAAAGTACTGAACTCAATGTGTCTGTCTGTCTAACAGTGCAATCGATCAGGCGACCGACTATGGTCATGACTGCGACTGCTACTGGCGGCGCTTCGGCTCACTGACTTACTGGCCCCACGGGCACAAGCGTGCATGAACTCCGTTTTGTTGTAATTTACGGTTTCAAATTGTATCGCTTTCCTCATTCTAATGCATACAGACGCATATACATATATTTGTACGTATTGTGTGCCTTGTGGGCCAGTGGGCCGCTTTAGAAGACAACTAAAAAATTAACCTAACGGTCTGTCTAATTGTCGTCACAACGGCGTCTTGTTGCCTCGGGCGGTGTTATTTTTTATTGCTTTCTGCTCGGTTTACTTTAAAATGCTTAGGTAATTAAGCGCGTTCAAGCGCAATCCAAATGTCAAAGTGCTACAAACACATTAGCGCGGCGCAGTTTGTAGAGTGTTTAATACTGATAGACTCTCTGCAGCCGGTTTCTTTTCCGCTCGATCGCAACAAGCGTTTAATAGCTGAGAAATCTTTTACTGCAAAAAACGGTTACGGTTAAACTAATTTCAATTGACTACGGAATATTTTTTAATCACTTTAATTAAATTATGAGCGCAGACAAACAGCAATTGAGAAAGCGCCCTCAAGACAAAACGCACAAAGGAAGGCGGATTTAACAAGGACCAGTTGAGTCAAGAACGCCCACAATTGAACTCGATGATACTTCACTCATTACAGTTTTTATTACGACAAATATTCCATTAATTTATATTTATGGGACTCACAACTTGTCGCGTCTTAAAATCGTAAATGTTTGCACTTGTTTAAAAAAGTTGTTGTTGGATTATGAATGTTTGAGCTGCATACTACCAAACAAAGATGAACTTGGCACTTTGCGGCCCTGTGAGCTCGGACAACTACTAAAAGAAACCACTGAATGCCAACAGTTTCCTGGTAATTATCATCTTTATATAGCGAATAACATAATTCTTGATAACGATATGATTTGAAATCGAAATCAATTTGCAATATATTCGCACGGAATTTCAAAATTAACTTTATTCATGCAAATTAAGTTCTAAATTAAAAAAATATGTTCTATAAAATAAATTCGGTTATGGCACAAAATTATAAATACACAGTTCCATTCCATTAGAATTCAATTCGCCCTATACGGAAACCCTTTATGTTAAAATATATTATATAAATTAAAACTCAGTTTCTGTTAAACATTTTGTAATTATTAAGCAATTTTCGTAAAGTGGATCTGAAATCTATGTTAGTGGTTATTTTTTCTTTCTTCAGTTGCTTTTGAAAGAAATAAATATGAAGAAGCCGGAAACCCAAAAACTGATAACAACCGCAAGATAGTGGACGCGTATCGTTTCATACGGAGTTTCTTCGATAACGGGCATTCTTTAAAGCAAACTGCTTGCTGTTGCTTTAAAGCTGTTTTGTTGGATAAATATAAAATTGAAGGAAATATTAAAATTAATTAGCTGAGGCTTACTGGCTCAAGTGGGCAAAATTTGTCAAACTACCTTCTAAAATCTGTAGTTCACTTCAGCTATCTTTGAACGTTTATGTTAGGATATTCTTGAAACTGTGCTGTAAACCTAAGAGGGCTTTAGATAACCTAGAGCATATGTATTACATCTAAGCATAAGACAAAATAAAATTAATATTACTTCGGTTTTTTTTCGAAGCCGTTAACTAATTATATTGCTGTTGTGATTTATTCTGAATGGCCTCTGAAGAATAGTGAGTGATGAAGTAGTTGTTTAGAGCTTTTGAAAGTGAATATGTATTTTTAATAAGTTTTTGAGGTTATATCGAAGCCGACACATACATTCTTTACATTCTTTTATTATTAAATAAGCGACTAGAAAGTAATGACTTCAGTCGTAAAGAAGAACCAAGCAAAATAGCGCATCTGATCAAAAAACTATAAAAGTTTTTTCTAGATTCTAGTCAACCGATTTGATCTATCCTTTTTGTCATCACAAGAAAAGAGGAGTCTCTTCTCTGTGGGGATAGTTGATTAAGACTTGCCTACATCCAGAGTTCGAATTTTTGCTATAAAAACATGTTTAGACTTTTTTTTTTTTGTTGAATTCCGACTTCCTAATTTTCATCCAAACTTGACACTTACGAACATTATAAATTTAAATTCGGCAGTGGTTCATATGAAACGCGATATTGAGTCGATGAGTGTTGAGTGAGCGCACCGGTTCGTAACCAATGCATTTTCCTACAAGGTAATGTTAAACTATATTTTTATGTGAGTATGGAAACATATAAACGGAAGTACATATCTTATATTATATATTCAGTCATAAACACATATATTCATACATATAGAACATATATTTATAAATAGCACAATTATGCAGCTGTTGACAAAAATATTGGTAATTACTTAAGAAAAATTAATGGAACCTACTTGTAGCAGCGAAGTAAAACGCAGACGACTCATCCTTTGTGGTGGTAATAAGTGTTATCGTGTTTATTTGTATGTATTGAATGCACAATTGTATGATTTCCTTTTAATCGGCGGCATATGTGCAAAACATACGTGTATTTGTGTACGTATGTATGTATGTTTGAATGCAACACTACACAAATTAAAGTAAAGCGCAAGGAATTTGACAATAAAAATATTGTGTTTCAAAAAAAAAAAAAAAGCTTAACAACTTAGATAAAACTTGTAAAAACACATTAAGTTCTTGTATTTAAAATCGCAATGGCGCCTGTTAGCAAAGTGTTGAAATCATTACGTTGGCGTCGGAACAGACGGAAGTGACAAAAGTTTGTTTTATGAATTTTGTAAAATGTATTAACATATATTGCACGACAATAACAAGAGGCACAACGAACATGAATAGTTACACTTGCACTTGTAGTAAATAATAATGCAACAAACACTAAAGTTGTAAAAATATAACAACAAAATTTAACAAAACAGTTTTTAGCACCACCTTATAATATTTTTTTTTAAGTTTTCAAGTTAAAAATTGTTTCTTTATTATTGTGTGGCATTAATGATTGTTATTAGTTTTGTTAGCATAAAAAATAATCGTCGGAAAGTTTTGTGAATTGGTTGCTGTATTTTTTTTTTATTTTGTCACCCTGTAAAACTACAATATTTGTTTTGTTTTTTTGGTTGACAGCTGTGTTGAGTTAGCTGTAATTACTCAGGTGGCGCTACAAATAACTTCTTTTAAAGAAATATTTGTATTGTCATCAATGTATGTATTCTTTTATCGCACTAATGAGTTATTTATATTTTAATGCTTTTTAACGCCACATAATTTGTACCAAATCAATTATCGCTTAACAATTTAGTGTACTTATTTTCACTTTTTCACACATGCATTTTCGTTATTTTCGTGTAGCAGATAAAAAAGGATTCAAATTATAAAAATAAACCAACCAACCAAATGCTTTCTAAAGATTTTATTATTTTGCGTCGGATTATAATGCACAAAAACAACAACTAACGAAACACAAATAAAGCGTTCCAATATATTGTCCAAAGAAAAAGAATAGACACTCGAAAAAACGTGCGTGGAAATGAAGCGTACACAACCTACTGATAGCCGGTTAGTTCCGACAGGCTGGTTGACTGCATGATTGTCTGATAGTTTCCAACGCAGTTGTTTGTTTGTTTCACAATGCAGACAAAGTTAAGGCACAAACAAAGTGGAAATAAATAAAGAAGTCAGCAAAAAAAAAAAAAGAAACGAAAACCAGAAGAAATGCAAGCATAATACAGTGCTACGCTATCGCAACGGAGTGGTGGTGAGAAGTTATCAAAGCGTAGCTAATAACTAAACGAAAGGCATGGGAAAATATACATATTACACACATTCATATGTATGTCTATAAAAAAAATGCATTGCTCCAGAGTTTTGTGATTCCACTGACTACACTCAAACTACACTATAGGTATGCAATAGTTGCTGGAGCAGTAAAGAGAAGCAACAATGGCGCGAACAAAAAGATATACGGCAAGAGCACTAATACAATGTTTGCTACCTAAGCGATAGTGACTGACCGAATAATAAATGTATTCGATTGTCAAATTCGTATGGCAAGGTATGAGGAATTTTCAATGCATGTTACTTGATTCAGTTTAAAGCGAAACTTAAAGCATTCGAGATCTCGTCCTAAAAACGCGTCAGTAAAAAAACTAAAAAAACATATACCAAGACACTCCTTGTTCACTCCTACTAAAAACCTTTATTTTAATATTATAATAAGCCTTGAAGACTAAATGATTTAGTATCATGAACTTTAGGGCTCAGTAAAAGTTGCCTATTACTTCTCAATGCTTAAGCTTACACAATATTTCTTCTGAAAATTAGCTTTAATTTTCATAATCTTTGACGGTAAAAGATGCAAAACTATATCCGAAATTTTCAACGAAAGTCTGATCTAATTTTCCTAATTTGACTATAATCGCGTAAGTGGTGTCTACGCCAATTATGAAGGAGAAGAATTTGACTGTGGTAATAGAGGATTTCACTTGCGATACCTTAGGTATGTTTGTGTATCCACAACTTATACCATTTTGCCAAAATGGAAAAAAGTAAATAAAATAGTAATTCGTATTCTTTTTTTACATGCCCTCATATGTAAATATGGTACATAACCTCAAGAATTGATTGAATAAATAACTCAAAATATATATGTATTTTATTTACAAAATTTCTCGAAATTAGATTTTAATTATTATTTTTTTTTTTTAATAGAAACTTACATACGTATATGGGCATATATTTAAATTTTTTTTAGACACCACTGTAGCACCGCCAGTTGACGAATTGAACAAGTTTGAATGTTCGATACACTGGTTTGAAGCGAGCCAATATCGAGTAGACAACAAATTTGAAACTAGCAATAAAATACAAGTACGACTATACAATGGGAATATGTTAATGAAATTTTCAACAAGTGTCCTTGTAGAAAAAATAAATAAACAAATAGTGAATAACAGTGATTGCCTATTTTATCAGCATTGAAATAAAGTATGAAAGCACAGTAGAGCGACATGTTGGATAGTACTCTGAAAGAAATGCGCTGTTGGAAGCAAATGTTTGATATAATCAGCAAGGATTGAAGCGATGTAAATGAATGTTGGTGAAAAATGTGCGAATTAATGTTAAATATGCATAACTCAATATATAAAAAATACGAGAATATCTAGATATAAGAAAGGAGTTCGAAGGATAGAAGTATTGTATCTATAGATATTTATCTTTCTTCATAGAATTTAAAACATTTTTTAATTAGGGCTTCTTTTTGTATATGTATTTTGTAAAGAAAAGTGATTTGTATGGTACAATGCCATCCTAAATCCTGAATACTTCTTCTGGTTGGTAATATATTTTTGAAATTTTACAGGCATTCATACGCTTCATTCATAGTGGGTATGTGCAAGGGACAAATATTTTATTTGAAATTTAATTCGTGTGAATTAACATAAAAATTTTCTAAAAAAATATATAAAGAATACAAATTTAGCAAAGCACGATCGGATTTAAATATCGGCACCTAGTTTCTAAATGAGCACATTTTCGAATATTAAGATTTTTTAAGTTAACAGTTTCGCCTATTAAGAAACGCAATAAATATAACGAGTTCTAAAAAATAAATATTTAAGAATTCAGAATAATGAAATACATAAATTGTTTATTTAACTAATTTGATTTTGAAAAAAATGTCTACTTCGGTAGCGAAACGGTCCAAATATATATATTTAAAGACTTTTCTTAAAATTATAATAAAAATAACGAATGTCCAGATCCGTCTAAAAGAGAATGGCTTGTGATAAAAGATTTTACGCAACATAACAAATATGCTCGGGCAATAATGAAAACCTCTCATGGCAATTCAAAAATTTCTTTACTTTACCTCTACTTGTAGTATTCAAAGGATTTTTATGGACATCTTTTTAGGGACAGATATCCCATCGAGGCAGAATAATAGCAGCCAAGGACTGATTACTATTAATATAAAAATAATAAATCGTTTTCCGACTATTTTGGTTATTACTTAAGCCATTAATTTTACGGCCATACATACTCGTACATATAAATTACTCATTTTTGTCCCATTTTGATATTGTCAATATTAAAAAGTTGACTCACCGCTAAGTTTTGCTCCAATGTGAATTTCTCTGCGATGAGTACGTCCTTTTCACGTGATAGCCTATCCTTGGTTACTCTTTCTTGACGAGCAGCATCCTATGAATATGCAAAATATGTTAATATAAAACTAGAAACGGCAAAGAGCATGCTGGCTACAACTAACCTGTAACGATTGACATTCCGCATCGAATTTACGTTGTTTCTTCTCCAACACATTATTGCGACCATTCTGCTCTTCGAGCAACATGCGCAAATCATTCATTTCGTTGGTCATCTTTTGCGCTTTGCGTTTCCATTGACCAACAACTTGACGTTGCTCTTCGACCTCTTCGTAAGCATCGGAGAGCTAGATATAGAGATAATAACAGTAAATATTAAATAATTAATTGAAATTTCAAGGGTTTGGCATACGCACTTTCTTCTCCAGCTGTTTTTTCAGTCCCACTAACTGCTCCAAATCGTGTTCGTGTTGCGTCTGCAAACGTCGCTTAGTGAACTCGAGTTCGCGCGCCACACGTTCATACTTCAACTTGTAAACACCGCTGCCGCCTTCCTCATTCTCGGGATCCTCATCTTCAGATATGCCATTCAAATCGGATTTGGCACAAATTAGTTCCATTTCCAGCTTCTCGCTGTTCTCTTGCAAATTTTTCACCTTGTTTTGTTGCTCGTTGAGTTCCTTTTCGAGTTTCAAACGTTCGGCAGTTTCCGCTTCAAGACGTTCGGTGGCGATATTGGCAGTGGAGCGCTCCTCGGCAAGATCCACTGCCATTTCGGATAACTGAAAATTTAGAATAATATAAATTTTATCAAAATATTGTTATTTACCAGTATTGACGTTGAAATTAAGTAAATAAGGCGGTGGAATATGCCAGCTTTTATAATGGAATAAAAACATACATATGTATTTGTAGGTTTTCTAAAAATATACAATCTAAAAAGTTATTTTAGTTCTGCGACAAAATTTTCCAACTTTGTTGCAAACTAATTTTATCTCTTGTGGGCCGCAATATTGTCTCCGAAAAATTTAACACCTGCCCAATAAAAAATAATTTAAAAAAATATGGAAAAATTAGTCACACAATGTTTTTGTTGCTCTGGTGTTTGAACAACCACTTATAAATGTATGGTACATAAATATATATGTATATACACATAGATAAAGATATATAAAATTATATATCTTATAGTATTATTGACACACTAAAATCCTAATGTGTCACAGTACTACTCATGAACGCATCGACACATTTAAACGCATACAATCGTACACTTTGACGCAACTTTGTTGACGCGGCTGTCAATGTCAAAACCACTCATTAATAAAAAATAAAAACAACAAGAATTTTGAGCTCTTATATTGCTTTCGGGAAACCCAAAAAGCATGAAGAAATGCAAAATAGTTTCATTACTCACTTGATTTTTGATCTTAGAAGAAAGTAAAAAAAAAAAAACGTTTTGGAAATTTTATAATAGGTATGGCAGGCGTCCAAAATAATTTGCTTTTTATTGTGATTTCCATGAAACATACCGAAAATTTAAGCAATGGTGACAAAACAGCCCACAAAATTGTCAGCGTAAAGCCTTAGAATATAGGATTTGGTGTTATGTACGCAGATATGTCTGTCCATTGGTTTGGACTATGTCTACTTCCTATATGCAAAGAAATTTTGGAGGATTGGAAAGCATTTGTTCAGAGGAGATTTTCTTCTGATCTAGTTGAATATAGCGGAATGCTTCAAACTTGCCGAAGAATACCCTTTATATTATATATTACTAAAGCACGTGAAATGTGCGGTCTCACATGCGAGTGGTTTCAACGTTTTCAAAGCGGTCGTGAGGATATAAATGACGATCAACATGCGGGCCAATCAACATCCGCGATCACCGGAAATTCCATCGAAACTGTGCGTGAATTCATCAAAAATCATTATTGAAATTCATGGAATTGGAATTGAACATCTCCGAAACTTCGATTTATGTCATTTTGACCGAACATTTTAGCTTGCTTGCAGGGTTTTTTCCGCACAAATTGACTGATGAGCAAAAATTGCTCAGACCTAGAGGCCATTCAAAAGGCTTGCACCGGCATACTGGTAGCCATACCGGCCAACGAGATAAAACACTCATGCTTTAGGACCATGCAAAAAGCTATTGAAGCAGAAGGAGACTATTTTGAATAGAATAAATTGATTTTGCCGAAACAACCATTTGTTCTGTTTACTTTGGAACGAACCTTGTCTATATATATATATATATATCAATAAATAATGTGATGAAATTATATTAAGCATTTTTAACGACCTAGACCGATAAAAAGGAAAAGAAAATATTTGCCTTGGTCTTAACAATAGAAAATAAAGAATGTCAAACTAAATTAAGACATAGACAATGAAAAATTCTTTTAATAATACAATACTTTAGTAAAAAAGAATAATTTAATTTGGATTTGGTTTTTCTTTATTTCAAAAAGTTAGTTTAAAAAAGAAAGTACTTCTCATTAGCCCATAATTTCTATCAAAGGTATTGTTAAATTTTCACCAAAAACTCGAGTTACAGGATATTGGAGTTTAGCATTGAGTTTAGCATACGATTCTTTTCCTAGAATGTTAACTGATTTTTAATACAGAAATCGTCAATAAAGCTGTAGTTTGCAGCACAGTACAATATTTGCACATTATCTAAGTATTGCTTAAAAAGTATTTTTTCTATTGAACGCATCCGCACACATTAGAAATCAGAACTCTTTTCCTACCTCATCGAAATCGTTATCGTCTTCCTCTTGTATGGTGCGATCATCGTCATCATCATCGGCGACTGACTGTTCACGTGCCACCGAATTTGAGCGCGAAGTCGGTGTGTGCGGCAAAGTTTTGCTCAGTTGAAATGCCTTCGTGAGTATATTTTGCGAGGAACGTGTACGTCCTACCGATGAGCTGCGCTCCATACTATTACGTTCACGTTGACGCTCAATCAAACTAATTGTATCGTAATCATCATAAACCGAATTGGTTGGAGTGGTGCGACCACTGTCCAAACTACCAGCCACACTACCTGTAGGACCCACTGAACCTACACGACGCGAGCGTCTGCCCAACGCTGTCCATTCTTCTTGTACATGATCGGTGCGACGCAAAAAGTTCTGTATCTTCTCCGAAAGATATGCTGAGGTGGTGCGTGGATCCTCATATGAAGGTGATGGGCGAAGCGTTTGATGCACCGGTTGCTTCTTGCAACCCAATACGAAAGAGAGATTTGCATCGAATACAACTGGCGATTGTTCGAGGTTCTGCATTTTATAGACATCAAGTGGATCGCCGCGTGTGTATGTTTGTGGGAAGATGCGTCGTGGCGGTGTCGTAAGACGTGATGGTGTAGAACGACCATTGGTCGCGCTAGTTGCACGAGATGTGCTGAGTGATGAACAACGTGAAGACGTCGACAAAGCCGGACTGGGTGAACGTTGCGAGAGCGTACGTAAACGCTCTGAACCACTGCAGCGTATAGCATTTCCACTCGAACCGGTTGTAGAGAGATAATCTGTTTTGGGAAGAGGTAGTTTCAATGATACCTCAACGGCTGTTTCGTTAGCAGAAGTCGAGATATTATTATTACCGCTAATTCTTGAAGAGAACGACGACGCCGACGAAACAGACGATGAAACACCGTTACTACCATAACCATTACTGAAGGAAGAGTTGCTGGAATAGGTGTTGCTGGTTGAGTTGATAGAAGAAGCAGCGTTAGCTAAGGATTGGGCAAGCCGGTATTGGTAAGAGGATTGATTTTTGGCACCGTTTAATATGAGACCATCTTCCGAATCGTAACTTTCTTGCGTACGCCGCGAGCTACGTGTTATCGTGGTTGTGGAACTGGTGACATTACTGCTGCCGTCGCGTTCTCGTTGCTTCGACAACAACTCTACTTGTTTGCGTGCACGTTGTTGCTGAGCTTGTGGCGGTACGGGTGGGCGTGAGGAAGCATTGGTACTAACCGAGGTGTTGGAGGACAGCGAGGACGCGCTTCCGCCACCCTTACTTAGTGGATTGGGGTGATCGCCGCCATTCGTTGCTGGCGGTGGAGATAGTGGACCATTGGTGGCGCTTGTATTGGCTGTATTCGTGTTTGTTTGGGACGACAATACAAAGGTGCTAGGTTTTAGAAGACCGGTTGAACTTTGCGGTTTGGAACTGCGCATAGCTTCAAGGACGCGCTCTAAAAATTTAGAATTATCTATGGACTTCTCACTGGCATTTTGCGTATTACATGATAAGGTTTGCTTGGTTTTGACATTTACTATTGATGGTTCAGGTGTTTGGGTCTTAGACACGGACTCTGATTGTGTGATAGTCGAAGTTGTTGTGTACGTGACAGTGTTGCCATTTAACTGTTTCTTATGGGTGGTCGCTGATTTAGTATTTGTTTTATTTTGTAATTGAGTTGTTAGTGTGGTTGTGTGGGTTTTATTCAGCTCCTCGGTAGTATGTGTATCTGTAATGGTAGGGACTTTCGTCGTCTTTTTTAATGGCGTAATGCTGCCATTAGTTATACTAGTATTTGAAGTGAGTTTACTCTTGCTTATGGTTTTGGTAGCGCAAGTTTTGTTTGCAATGTCGCCGGATTGAGTTGTTTTTGCTTCCTTAACAGCTGTTACTTGCTGCGATTGAAGCTTCGCTGCTGAGCCCGTATGCTCAACTTTCTTCTTTATGGTATCACATTTAGTAACATTTGCATTCTTCTCGCCTGTAGCAACTTTGGAATTTGTCGGTGTTTCTGTTGCGGATGAGCTGATCGTTTTAATGTGGTTATCTTCAGCTACTTTATTGCCACTATTGCCATTGTTCGAGCTTTCCGCAGCTAAATCAAGCGTGGGTTGTAATGGCGCCATTTTTTTGGGCGTCACATTTGTAGGGGTCAGGTTTACTTGTGTATTAGTGACGTGTGGCATGCTGTGATGTGCTCATTACGAATTAACGACTCTGAGCTCTCATACATACATACATAAGATTTAAAAGTAAAATCAAACAAAGGGTTAAGGCATTCACTCTGAATAGGTGGATTAAAGTCTGCTTCGAATTTTGGTGATGATGAGTGATGAGGGATGTTCTACCAATATTCAGTCGATCGCGATTTTTTTTACAATTTTTTTTATCTGCTATGAGTTTGCAATCTTTCGGTGTAGCTGGTATGTGAAGCCTTGGTCGTAAGCAAATGATTTGGTTCGTTTGTGTGTTTTCAATTTCGTTGGTTTCGTTGAATTTTCTTGTAAGGCGTATCGATTAATTTAGGGTAATTTTATATATATTTATTATTAAAAAATTATTATATTTTTGCAAAAAATTTGCGCACCCAAAAAAGTGTTATTGTTTTTCGAAAATTTTGTGTAATCTGCAGTTTTCGAATATTAGAAACCAAAAAATTTTGATTAACCACAATTTTCAATTTCTTTTCACATTATTTCTGTTTACACATTTTATACGAATTTTTGGAAAAATTTTTAAGCACGCTAAATATTTCTTGCCTTTTATTTTGTTCTATTTTTATTATTATTGAAATTAGTGATCTTATTTAAAGTTAAGCGTTAATATTATTTATTATTGTTATGCCAAAATATAGTTCCTAATTATTTTAAATTATGTTTTATTCATATTTTTTTTTTTAATCCAGATAATATTCTGTCTCTTATACACATCTAGATGTGTATAAGAGACAGGTTTTATACACTAATTATATTTTGTTATATGATTATATTTTTATTCTCATTAATTAATTGTGTTTGTA